ACTTTGACAGTTTCAGATTGATTTTCCTTGTTCCCTCTATATTACTCTCTTTCTAGTTACTAGATTCTGAATTTAGTGTATAAGAGTCTAATGAACTTGACTCTAAACTAGTACTACTTAGATAGGTCTGATACAACCAACTATAATAATTCAATGTTAGTATTCCTTCTACTATAAAGGTATCTAGTAACATAGACTTTTCAATTTCTTTAACTGTCTAGCTTTCCTGAGTAATAATTTCTGACTAACCTTAAAGGCTTCTAGAGGATCCTAGTAGACTATCTGGATGTTGTGTTTCAATTCTACTATAGTCTTAAAATGTTTGGATTCCTCTCTGTATTGTGTTAACAAGCTCTTCTTCTTTAGCTGAAGATCCTAATAGTTTACTTTCTTGATTTTCTTAGACTGTGTTTTCCCAGGTGAAATGTTCTTGTCTCTAAGAGTATTAAGTATTAGAAGTACTTCCTTCCCTCCTGTCACTTTGTTGTTCCTCTCTACTAGTATTTTGTAATATAGTAGTTAGGTTAAATTGTGACTGTACTAACCTGTTTAGGTATACTTGTAATATTCCTGATTCAACCTGTACTTCTTGTACCCTGTTAGTAAGGTCCTGTATTTTGTCTAAGATTTCCTGTAGCTTTGTATGAATATTAAAAATATTTAAACTTTGTGTATCTAGATCTGATTGTATCCCTTCCAGTTTTTCTCCTTATTGTTCTGATTATATAAGACTACACAAGTATGTGATTTCCTCTTGTATAGTTCTATAATGTAGGTCTTAACTTTGAGTAGACCTAATTATTCTGTTAAGACCTAAAAATTGTTGTATCCAAGCCTTTGTCCCTATAACCTAAAGGCTATAATAGGCCTCTAGTTTGTTTGAATAAGAGTAGCTAGAGTGTGAACCTCTTCCTTGAGCCAATCTTGTACTGTTCCCTAATTGACTCTTCCTCCTACTTTAAGTATATGTAACAAAGAGTGTTCTTACAAGTAGTAAGAATATGAGAATAGTTAAGGGATTTAATAATAAAGGACTGTATGATAGTAGGCTTCTGTCTGTACCTAGTACTAGTTGTTATATGTGTAATGTTTCAATCCTTTCCTTAATCTGATACAAAGCCACTTTTTATAACTTGTTAACTTTGTTTAGTATAATATTACAAAAGTTACTTACTTTTACAATATCTGAGTATTCTTGTTCTAGTACAAGTAATACACTATGTAACAGATTACAATATTGTTATAATGTGTATAAGTGGCCTGAGTATCCTTAGATTTGTTCAATCCAAGTTTGTTGATTAATAGGAGTACTTGCTATATAAGTAACAGTTGATACTACTCTTCCTTACTTAAAAGAGTCTAAGGGAATTTCCCCCTATATCTAAAATGGTATTCCTTTAATACCTTCTAGTATTAATACTTGTTCCTGTGTATAGACTACTAGGTAATTAAGAACTAGTAGCACTTCTTAATTAATCTTTCTTTTCTTACTACAAAAGAAAGTTACTTACCTTAACAAGTATTCTAAGTAGTAGAGTAATTTGTCTACCTACTTTGAATACTAATTATTAAGGTTAGTTAATATTATAAAGTAAGTATTAGAGTTAATATACTTGTGTACTAGCTCTAGGTTTGAGTTCCCCTTAGTAGACCAGAGCTTTACTAGAATAGTAAAGATTTGTAACTAAGTTGGAGTTTTATTAAAGTGTAAGATATACTCACTTTACTAGTCCTAATCCTTAAGAATAGTAACAGAATAGAGTATAGAGAGTAAGACTTGTAAACTTGTAGAGTGAGAGGGTAGAGGAGTCCTACTTTAGTCAAGTTGTAAGTATAGTCTAGTAGGTTAGTAGTAGAGTACTTCCAAGTACTAAGTAACTTAAGTTAATAAAACTATCCTTTAAGGGCCAAACTAGTCTCCTTATATACTTTTTGTTAGAGTAATGTTACTCTAGTAACTTTAGTAACTCCCTTCACTATTGTTCCTATAAAGTAGAGCTGGCTAATCCTTTAGACTGTATACTATACTAGTTTGTGTCTTCTTATATTTTAGATTAATCTTCTAATGACTCCTTTACTATATTATTATGTTTTCTATACTTCCTCTCATACTTCTAATAACTCCTTATGAGTCCTTCTGACTAGTTATACTGTGTAAGCTGTATAATAATTTTCTCATAAAGTAGAGCTTTCTATTATTCTTATAACTCTGTCTGACTCAACCTGTACTTCCTATACACTAGTTTGTAATACACTTTCTTATAAGGTAGAGTATTATAACTTCTAATAACTCCTTATAACTTCTATAATATAAAAGGCTGTACTTCTGTACTACTCCTAGAACTTACAACCAAAGTTCTAGACTGTCTTGTGTACACCCTAGAACTGACAACTAATGTTCTAAATCTTTCCCTAAGTCTTCTTTAATAGACTTAGTTTAGGAGACAATTATCCTTGTTAACTTCTAGCCTTATCTTTGTACTTCTGTATTCAATCATAGAACTTACAACCAAAGTTCTAGATTGTCTCATATATTCCTCATGTTGTTCTCATATAGTTCTTATGTTTATGACTTTATTACTTTCCTATCTGTATGAGTAAAGTGTATAAAGGAGACTACTTTCTTATAGTCTCTTCTTAGAGCTCTTAGTTCCCTTTTCTTTACTAGTACTAGTCCTCCTCAAGTATAGAGCTTTAGAGTATTAGCTCTGACTCTTTACTAGCTTTAATGGTCCTTTATCTTTGTACAAAGAGTTTCTAGCTAACTATATAGTTTCTCCTTAAGTAAGTATAATATTTTCCTTTTATCTCTTCAGGTTTTCTCCTAGTCTTTTCCTTTATACTTCTTACTCTAGATACTATACTCTTTCCAGATCCCCTCTCTATACAAGCATTCTAAATGACTTGTCTTTAGTTAAGGTTATTAAGTAATACTGTGTTAGAGTATGTGTTTAACCTTAGAGAGATAAAGACCTTGTCTACAGGTTTTGTTACCTTTTCCTAACTGACTTAGTACTTACTCCTTCCTGTCCCCTCTCTCTACTAATGGATTGATCACCTATTAGTAATGATTAGAGGTTTATAATACTGAGCTAGAGTTCTTACTAAGTAGGACAACAAAGGTAGCCTAGTTGATCTGGCCAATCTCTAGACTTGTAACTAATAGAGTTTTGTATATAAGCTACTTGGTTCCAAGTCTTGAGTTAAGCTTTTCCAAACTTAGTTACTGTATTTTACAATTCCTAACATTAGCTTACCCCTACTACTGTCCATCATGTATTCATAAACAAACATAGTAAAAAAGAGAGTGTCCTTGTCTAAAAACTCTCACATTGAGCCAATCACACCTCAAAATCCAGTAAACTGTATTGCTCCTGTGAGATGAACAACTTTATTGTATGTGCACAGCCACAAAATAGTTCAGGGGTATAGAGACAAGTATCTTACAATGAGGAAGTAAGAATACAGAACATAATGAAAGTGTAACAGTGATTACGTTAGACAATGATAGTGTTGGCCCGAGGTGGCACAATTGTGAAACAAAGAATACATGTACAAGACCGAGAAAGTAGAGGCCTGCCTGATCCTTCAATGGGAGTGGCCATCTATGCGGAGCTGCAGAATAGTACGATAATATTCCATTGCCTCATTGAGGCCTGCAGTTTGTCTACGCTGCCTGAATCGAGCTCGAAGGGAGATTACAAGGTCATCCAGAAACTCGGAACGTTTGGGGTGACCATTGGGGAAAAGTTGAAGGGCGGTACGATGATGCCGAATCGCCTCGTCAATATCCGCAGTCTGTCCGTGTTGTTCGAATCGGGTTCGAAGGGAAATCGCAAAGTCATTCAGATACAGGGGTCTTTCGGTATGACTGTCGGGACGAAGTTGTAAGGTGGCACAATGATGCTCAATCGCCTCGTCGATGTCTGCAGTCTGTCCATACTGCTCGAATCGAGTCCGATGGGAAACCGCAAGGTCATTCAGAGACAAAGGACGATAGGGATGACCGTCGGGAAGGAATTGCAGGGTAGCACAATGGTGCTCAATCGCTTCA